ATCCCATGTTGTAGTAATGTTCTACAGTTCTTGTAGCCATGCCGGTTCCACAGACTGTCTGACAAGAGATTTGCTTGGTATATTTTTTGTTGGGCCAGCTTTATGGTTGGAAGAGACAAGCTGGCAGAGATGCTGGTAAAGGGAGCAAATCTGAGAAACCATAAAACTTGGTCCAGTCAAGATATTACCAACCAAATATTGCTTCTTGGCAATCTCAGAGTTTTTTTTCCTAGTTTATAGGTCATAGTTGAGGGATACTGGTGGTTCAATAAGAAAGCTTTTTTGAACATGGGCCATGCTGAATGTGCTCTGAGGTTCAATAAAGGACTACTTCTTTCAGGGTATCATACTTGTATTTTGTGTTTTAGAGTATCTTTCCAGTGTTGATACTGCTGACTAGAGCTACTTGCGATGAAGGTGCCTTGGGATATGGACACTGGAAGCCAACTGAGAATGCTAAACTCATATCTCACACATTACCAAACAGCCTTTGAGCTCAATCTTATTAATTATGAGGTACTAAGCATCGTCAGTTCACAATCTGACAAATTAGGTCCTTTATTATTTTGTGCTTTTCAAACACTCGGCTTTCTAGTAGGCGTGCATCATGACAGCAAGAAATTTTGTTTGAATGAATTACCACTGACAGGTACAGTAACATATCTCTGCAGCCATCCAGGCATGTAAAATACCTTTAAATTCCATTGGTTTTCCCTCCTGAATAAACATAGAGCCCTAATTCACATAAAGCATGGAGCGACAGTTTCCCCTTTACATCCCTCTGGGAACACAGACAGAGCTGCCCAGAACAAATCCTGTTGGTTACAAACTAGTATAATAGAGGAAAAGAAACCCAAATCATTGCCAGGTCATACACTTTAACACAGGACTTCATTTAACTGTAACACAGTACTCATACACTGGAGGACATAGATGGAAGTTCGAAAGGGCTAAAAATAAATATGCTATGGCATAAATAATTTATGCTGCCAAGGCAAGAACATAATTAAGGTGGCTTTACCTTTTCTCAAGCCAGAAGGCATCTTTTTGAAAAGGTAAACAGAAAGTTGGGTGAATATGTCCACAGATTAAACTAATACGATCACACACAAATATTTGCAAAAGAGTTCACATGATTGCTTTGTGAGGCCATTATGTTGATACCCTTCTATGAGGAAATGGGTAGGAATTTTGCTGTACAATAATTCAGATGCACTCTGATTTACAGACCACAAGATTTGCTGGTTAATAAATGAGGCACATTTTACTCTTTGTTTGCATCTTTCTGTACGAAGGGGCTTTGTTCTTTTATCATGTTTATTGAGGTCTATGTGCTTTTCAATTAATTAATATGATTATTTTGAAATTCTTGTAAATTTTTGTGTATTGCCACCATCAAGCACCCCCCCCAAACACCCGACCTTCCAATAACAGGCTAACACAGGGGTTTTCAACTTTTTTTAGTTCATTGTATCACCCGGCAGCTGGAAATGGAGCAGTGTATCCCTGGCTGCCAAGCAGGGGGGAGGGGGAGGGGTGACGAGAGGCCATACGCCGAGCAGGGAAGCAGGGGTGGCTGATGGCCAGATGTGGAGCGGCCATGTATGAGCTTCCCCTGCCTCCTGCGCCTGGGCGGGTGGCGCCTGTGCAGCAGCACAGGATGGTTCGTGGCAGATCTCTGTCCCCCTGCCACACATACCTACTAGGGCCTTCTCAACTACCCCTGGGGGTACGCATACCTCCCCAATTGACAACCCCTGGGCTAGCAAAATAGTAATAAGAGGGCTCCTTTTACTGTGGGGATATGCCAACTGGGAGATGGTGATTCTAATCCATTTCTTCCTTTTGCTCACAGATTCTTTGATCCCCAAATTATGGTAACTTTCAAGGATCTGATGCTACAACAGGCAGATTTCTAAACTCCCCAGGAGGCCTATGGCAGTCAATGTAGTGAAGCGGAATACAGCCCTCTTCAAAGTTATTCTTGGTATATTATTCAGATCCAAATGAGGAGAGAGAAACAGAGTCAGGATACAGGGAGAAAAGAAACAGAAAGCTTCTAGTTCTAATGCTTCTGACTGAAATATTTAGTAGGTGGCTTCAACTTCAATTCATCAGTCCAGAACACAACAGAAGCCAATATCACAATCTGTGGTTCAATCCACATTTATTTCGAAGTGTTTCTTTCCTTTTCATTTCGTTAAAAGGATCTTATCTGGGGAAAAAAAAACAAACAAAAAAAAAAGACTCATTCATTTTTGATCTGTTGCATTGTATATCATCATAATTATACAGACAGCTGATTTTCTTTCTTGGATTTTAGACTTCCGTAAATTCTGTCAGAACTCAAAAAATACAAAATATCCATTTAATTTTCAGGGGATTATCTCTCTGGTGAATATGAGCAACTTTTATTATCCACAGATAGTTTACAGTGGTGAATATTTCACTAACCACAAGACTCTGGAAGCAGTTAACTGTACTCAGGGATCTGAATAATTCAAAATTCTTGATATCCTTTTGTGAACCTATAGGGGCTTTAGCTAAGTGAAGCAGTATATATTAAAGCAATGTTTCAGCTAACAACTGTCTTTCTCCCTGCTAAAACTTCAACTTCTTAGAGTCATGCTTATTGAAGAATATATTGCTGGCATAATTTTCCAAAACTACATTGACAATGCAGCCAGTTGCTTCATTTTTTACAATTCTAAATTGCAAAGTAAAATTATAAAAGAATGACTGCAGAGGTGTCACTGATATGCTCCTACATCCTGTGGTAACTTACAGCAGTAAGCAGGTTGCTGTCACATGCATCACCTTCTCAGTGGCTCCTGAAAACAATATAGCAATAGGGAATCACCACGTACAAGGAATTTGCAGCAATGTCCACTCAAGGGGTAATTTAATTTTGTTGGTTCTGTATCCTTCTAAATGGTCACTTCATAGTGGCTAGAGGTTTGTCATCTGTCAGCAAATGAATCACTTTGCATAAGACAATCTACACAATACCATATGCAAGCTCTCTGATTTTCATTTATAGGCTCAGAATTATTTCTAAAATATATCACTGTTAACTGAAAAGAGAACCAGACCCATGTCATCTAGGTGGAAGGTCCAGTCGGTTTTGTTTAGTGGTAAAAGGTTAGATCCTTGATTTATTGTGACATTAAAAAGGTGAATAACTTCAAATTTTGCAAGACCATGTAAAAAAAAACTTTTAAAAAAACGATTACGTGAGGAAACATTTAGTGGACTTTCCTTTAATGTGACTTTATATGAAGTTTTTATTGCAGTAAACTTACAGCATGGAACAACCAAGAAGAAACGCCTATATTTGATTTGAAATTAAATTCAGTAATTAAAAACATAACTCTCACGTAGGTATTCAATTCTAACCACAACCTAATAAACAGAAATACCATCACCATTTTTTCTGCACATAATATACAAACGTAGCAGCCTTTGGGATCTACATTCCACTCAAAGAGCAAGTATAAGATACAAAATCATTTAAATTCTAATTAGCAAGGAAAATAAATAAATAAAATGTACAATTTGTTGGCTTAGTGAAGAACAAAGGGTTATTTGAAAAGAAGCTTCCACCATTGCTGGCTTGAAGAATTTCTGCCAAATACGTAGCCTCTTTTGTAGAGACTTCTACACTAGGGTGTACCAGATGTTTAAATTCTTGCCACATCAGTGAGAGTCGGCTACCTAAATATCTTTTATAATCTGGGCCTTTGGCCCTACATAGTTTATAGTACTCAGGAAAAATACCTATTATGCGGTCCTTGTAACAGCTGCTGCTGCTGGTGGGGTATTTACCTACAACTGGCACCTTGTGGTGACTGCTCCTGACCTGCAGGGCTCCACCTTTCCTGTACACTGCTCATTGCCACTATTCTTAGCTGCCACACCTTGATCTAAATAACTTTGGAAGACAACCCTCAGTTAGCCAGAGCAACACTGATTGCTGCTTTCTGCTCTAATCATCACAGGGTGCCTCTAATTGGCTTAACTGATGGTCTCTCTGTTTCAGGACCTGATGGCCTACCAGCTAGGCCAACCAGTGCCTGATAGCCCACTGGCTGGGTTAACTTGGGACTGCCTGACCACTTGAGTCAACTCAGGACTTGTACCCTTTTGAGTCTCCTACAGTAACTTGACCTACTGACTGGTGCTAAGCCTGGCTCCTGACTGGTCTTACTGGCTTGCCTCACATCTTGGTCTACTTATAGAAACAGACAATCTCCCTGACTAATAATTCCACTTGAGTGAGTAATAACCTACACTAACAGTGCCAGGGCCTCAGATAGCCCATTGTTACAGTCCCAGCCCAACAACAAAGCAGTCGCAACTGAAAGAGTCCAGTATCGGTTTGCTTTTCCTTCCAGGTCTTCCTCTCTTCCTGCTGGTTTCTCCCAGCCACAAACAGTAGCAGGCCACTTTACAGTCTCCTGTACAGCCCATCCACTGGAGCTCCTCTCAGTTGTCTTGTCCTGGCAGAATTAAACTCTCCTCCCTGGTTCTGAGTTTACAGGTCTTACAGGTCCACCTCTTCCAGGCTCCATATAAAAACTGTTTCTTTGTAATAGGGTAAGGACCCCTGTTGCAGTCTGAGACAGGGGACCAAGTTAAACTGGGTCTCAACATCAGTCTACCCACTTGTCTATGTGGGGCAGTCCACCCAATCTTTCCTGCCATGACTTGCTGTTTGATTGATGTAAAATGCAGGAGGCTCCCCATTTTAATTCCCCGATGACAGGAGGCATTGTACATGGCTCCATACCACCGCTACACTGTCTCCCATTCCTCGCAAATGGCATCATAAGTTAATCATAAGTCTAGCCTGAGGCCAGGCCAACTCTTCCCCTTGCTGGGCCACTCATATGCTACTCATACATTCCACCCCGTCACAGGGTTTCATTCACTCCACCCCCACTCACAGAGCCTCTTACATAATTCCCCTCACTGGGCCACTCTCAACCCACCCTGGTCCTCTTGAGTGACCGCTCTGCCCCCCCAGGTCATCAGGCTTATCTACTCTCACGCTGGCCGATGCATGGGCAGCAGCTTCGGGTTGCTCAAGCAATCCCTACTCTACAAAGCACTGACCTTAAGCCCTACCCTGGATGGAGCTCAGCCTCTAACCCCTCACTGGGCAACTTGTTCCTGCTGTCCCTCATATGGGGGATGTCCCATGTGCTGCCTTTCAGGCTGCCCCTGCAACCCTACTCAGCATGCCCCCCAGTACAGCCCTTCCGGTCACCCTACTCTGTACACACCAATGTCCAGTCCTTCAGGCCGTAATGGTGCACCCAACTCTGGGAGGGCCACACACAACTTCTGTCCCACTCACTGGGGCCGCTGTCTTCCACTGCCCCCTCTCTGGGTCCTTTGGGGTCTTACACCCCTGTGGGGCTCAGGTGCCTCTGTCTAGGCATACCTGGCCCTCATACCGTCTATTCCCACACATCATTACCCACTGGATAGTGGGGACTGGGGTTATAAGGTGCTTCTACCTACCTTTCACTGGGGAAGCAACTGGTCTGGAATTTCTGGGAAACTGCCCTGCAACAGGCAGCCCCACCAGACCATCCTTCCCCAGCAGGGTGCAGTTTTATGTCATACCCAGGACCAGGAGCCTTCTGCCATCCCATACCTCCTGCCCTTGACTCCAAGGTATTCCTGAGCAGCCACTTAGCTGGGTGGTGCCTTTCTAGCTGCCAGCAGCAGACTGCTGCCTCAGTCCTAAGAGCCTGGATTTAAATGGAGGCAGATCAACCCTCTCCTGCTATCCCAGGGCTCTCCTTCAGATATGTGACTGCCTCATTAGGGCTAGCCCAGACCTTCAGGCTGCCCTGCTGCCTTCTCTCAAGCCTTAAAGTGGCAAGCAACGAAGATTCCCTGCCACACAGTCCTACTCTGCAAAGTTTGTAGGTCTGTAGGATTTCCTTCCTGAAATGCAAAAATGCATTGCAAGGCTTCATGAAGTCCATCCAGGTCAAATTGTCAGAATTTACAAATATGAATATTTAAAGTTTAGAATTTTGGTTATTTGTTTTCCTAACTAGAAACTCACACACACACACTTCACATAATAATTACAAGTAAGTTCTACATGGTTTTATGTAGATAGAAGGCCTATAGAACTTAGTTATAACTGTTTATTTTCACCATTATGAGTAAATTCTATAGACCAAAAGGTAGTACCTGGTTAAATCTAAGTGGCAGAAGGCAGTCAAAAAACCTTTTATGACCCTATTGATTTTAATGGATTCACAGATATATAATTGTTTGGAACTTGACAAACCTTTGCTTTATGACACTAGAGAAAGTACTGAGGCAACTCATCCCCTCAGGCATCTCTCTCTCTGCACAGCTAAAATATATAAAGGCAACAAAGCATATATTAATGAGTTACCCCCTTAAAAAAAAGAGGGAATGGATCTACCAAATGAAAAGAATTAATTTCCAGAAACATATAATAAGACACCTTCACTTTAAAAAAAATTATGCATGTTTTAAATACAGCTAGGTTACCATAACCTGCTTTGGAATCAGTACAAATAAAACTCTTATAGTAAGAGTTTTCTTCAAAATTTTACCTGGGTCTAAAGAAATGATAATCTTTCATTTTCCAGTTTAGTTTTATATATATAACTATTTAAGATAGATATGATTACAGCTATAAATACACACACACACACACACACACACACACACACACACACACACACATATATATATCTAAAAGGTCTGTTAGCTGGACGAAGTTGGCATTCGAGTAAGTAGCTGTGCCTCAGGCCCAGAAGAGGGGTGGATTCCAGGACAGTCAATCCAGCAAGTTCATACCACAAGTGAGTTAGCTAATAAAGACATCCTTACAGAGCTCATTATACATAATTAATATACCCAAATATTTATAACACCAACAATAACAAAAATACCAAATAGGAAACATAACTATACCAGATATTAGATGCACCCTATCTGGGTTTCAATCACTTGGTCTCTCAAATGAGATAGGGACTTCTCTCCCTAGGCCCACTACCCCCAGGGTCCCTTGCCTGAGGGCGACTCCCCTGTGGGACCTGGGTTCCTGGTAACTCACAGTCCTTCCTCTGGGGGCTATCAATCTGGCCTTTGGGTCTCCACACTGTATCAGGCCTCCTGGAGCCATTGGCCTCAAGTTGAGGGTTCTTCTCTCTGGGCCCTGGGCCCCACATTAGGCACCCAGGGAGCTCCTATGGGAGCCGAGCTCTCACTGGCTCTGGTTCTCCAGCCTCATACCAGGGGTCTTTCTCCTTCCTGGGCCCTGCTCAGGGCACCAAGCATCTTTTAGTTTAATGCTGAGTCACACTGCAAAAATAGTTCAGGAGCTGGGGTACATGACTTATGAGGAGAGGCTGTGAGTACTGAGTTTTTTTAGTTTGAAGAAGAGAAGTCTGAGGAGACATTTGATAGCATCCTTTAACTATCTGAAGGGTGATTCCAAAAAGGATGGAGCTAGACTGTTCTTAATTGTGTCAGATGGCAGAACAAGGAACAATGTTGCAGCAAGGGAGGCTTAGGTTGGATAGTAGGAAAGCTCTCACTAGGAGGGTGGTGAACCATGGGAACAAGTTAAGTAGAGAGGTGGTGGAATCTCTATCCTTGTAGGTTTTTAAGGCCCAACTCAGCAAAGCCCTGACTGGAACGGTCTAGTTGGGGATCGTCCTGCTTTGAGCAGGGGGTTGGACAAAATGACCTCCTGAGATCTCTTCCCACCCTACTGTTCTATGATTCTATGAATCCACATTGATTAACCCAACTCAAGAAAGGTAAATAAGCAGCTCAATGTGCACCAGTGGTCAAAAGAATAAAAAGTATTGTATTGTATATAGTAAAATATATGGAGAATATAATAATGCATTTGTATAAATCTATGGTGTAACTTTAGCAGGAGTCCTGTTTGCAGTGTAACAGGAGTGGCTCCCTAGGGGTCGCCATGCTCTCCCTTAGCGCCCCTTACCATGTCCAGTCGGTGTGCGATACACCCTCAATCTCACCCGCCACATCTTTGATGTCAGTTATGTAATTAGGGAGGCTGCCTCTTCGGTTCCCTGGACACAGTTATCCTCCTGTACATTAGCCTGGCTCTGTTAATGGGTGTTCCTGGGCACTCCAGCTTTATGGGCTATGCGTAGCTTCAAACAGCCCTTTACCATGCCCCAAGCCTCGCAGATCTGCCGGATGTTGTTTGGTCTTAGCCGCAGCCCTTGTCTCTCTCTCTGCACCCTCTCTAGTGCTCGGGCTCTCTGCAGCTCTTGTCTCTCTCTGTGCCCTCTGGTGCTTGGGCTTTTCCGCCACCTTTTCTCTCACCACCCCCTTGCTCTGAGGCTTCTCATGCTGCCCCCTTGCTCTGGGGCTGGGGTCAGTGCACCCCAAAATGCTGTGCCCTCTCTGATGCCGGGGTCCCCACACCACTGTGGGTCCCTTATGAGGCCTCCTCCAACCCCTATTAGTCTCACCCGAACCACCAGTGTAAACAACAAACACAAAGCATAAGCCCCTGGGCTATAACATAAATTCTAGCCGGTTAGCTGTAACATCCTTCGAGCCACCCCATGGGTACTTCGTCTCTTCCCCAGTATCAGCCTGCTCATGCAGTCCAGCTTCTCCTCTTTACTCACTTAGGCAGAGCTCCCTCTCCCTTGACAAGCAGCAACCCACTCCCCTCTGGCCTCAGACTTGTGATTTATATATAGGCACCAGGCCCTTCCCTTTCTGGTCAGCTGACCAGGCAGGTGTAAGTCCTCACCCTCAATAACTGGTTGGCCCAGCAACCTGCACTTGGGTCTTTATCTCTGCTCTCAAAGTAGCAGGCACCTTAGTGCTCTGCTACATTCAGTATTGGTGAACTCATGTTAAAATGTATACCAGGAGTACAAGAGGTTCAGAGACAAATAAGAAGGGATATAATAAAAAATATATAAAATAATGAATGCCTAGAGAAGGTAGACTGAGAGATTCTGTATTACCTTTCTTTTAACACAAAAATAAGGGGTCATCCAGTGAAAACAAAACGTAAGAATTTGAAAACCAGTAATAAGTTATCACACAATATGTAATTAAACTGTGAAATGTATTGCCACAGGAAGTCACTAAAGCCAACAATTTAACAAGATTAAAAATTGATTGAATATTCATATGAATATGAAGCCTATCCAGAGTTATCAATAGATAACACTATTTTTGAGGAAGGGATATTTAGTCTTATTCTTCAGGTTCAAAGCCACCCTGAATAGGACAAGTCAGAACATGTCTATATGTTGGAAGGTATATTATTCCATATTTATATGGTGAAAGTTTGCTAAGCTTTATTCTGAAATGTCCAAATGTGTTAGTGGCAGGATACTGGACTAGGTGGACTTTGGATCTGATCTAGTATGAAAAAATCTAAGTTTCACTACTATCATTCTGTACCTTGTTCAGTTGCATATGGCACAGTTAGCTAACGTTTCAGGGATGTATTTGGTAGCCATGTTGGTCTGAGACAGAAAGAAATGGAAAACTTTAAAACTCTTGGTTCAGAGATAATAATGTTTATTAGACCAATTAAAAAATCACAAAAAACTTATATTTCTTTGCAAGCTTTTGAGCACATGCACCCTTCTTCAGGCTGAGGGAAAATTAAAGATGGTAAAAGTCCCCATAGGTAGAAAATAAACTTCATTTTGCACAGAGGAAGCTGAAGGTGGTTGTTTATTCCTCTGGGTCCATGAGAGTTTCGTTGTGTGACTTGCTCTTTGATTTGCAGATAAGGTGGGATTTCTTTCCTGGTGGTGTCAGGTGTGGACAGGCAGAGAGGTCTAAAGATCTTTCTTTGTTGTTAGCAACAGTTAGCTAAAGAAGTTTAACATATAATTCCTTTACACTTCTTATAACTAAACATATTTGTGACATAAATCACGGCAGTTATTATTTTTTCCCAATGTAAGAGAAGTAGAGGGAGGGCAGGGCAACTAAAATAGAGAAAAAATGTATTTCAGAATAATATCTAATGTCCAATACATTATATATTCATTAGATTTTAGGACATAGAAATGTCTGATAAATATATAAGCAACATT